ACACACACACACACACACACACACACACACAGAGTATAGACACACCCGGCATTTTTTGGATGCGCTTCACTCGGAAATAATTTGTCTATTGCGATGCATTTCTCGGATAAAAAGAAATTTACTTTGAATGATTGTAAATGAAAACGTTATAAAAGTACCGTAACATGACACTTTCCGGTTGCATCGCGATAGACAAGTTTCAATTAATGTCCTCAAGCATTTCACAAGTGTACTTCTTGCGTAAATTTTTCATACCAATCACTCGCTTTCTTTTCGTTGGAAAATAAGGTGCATTTTACGTGCACCAAAGTCAATTTGCGTAACTGATATTCCTTAATTTTTTTCTATTTAATAATTTCTTTTTTATATTTCGTTTATGTTTTATTTTCTTATATATTATATTTTTTATTTATATTATCAGAAAATGATTTTAAATGTATTGTCATATATTGACTTTTTGAAATCTCTAAAAATTACATTAATAATTATGCGTTTTCCCTTGACTATATTAAATACAATTTTGATACTTTCCATCATTATAAAACTTATTTTTCTCGAATTCACTCATTACGACTCTATGTAACTTTTAGATATCACTTTATTTTTACGAATTTCTTATTACCGCAACAATGAAATGTTGTGAAATTGATAAATTCATAAGTTTGACAGTGCCGAGTCTACAAACTCATAAAATCTCGTTCCTATGTAATTCCATACATGATTGAACAGCTTTTTATAGTTAGTTATTGGAATGTCTCGAGAAATTCCGCACGCACCGATTAATTTACGCGTCTTAACATACAATCACGTTTAAATCGTTATGCAAGGATACACATGAGCAATTTATTGAAAATTGTATCTTTATCAATCTACTATCTATCACTAAAGCACTTTTTTCTATATACTAACAATACAACTTTGTAAGAGCATGCTATTGAATTGTCACGCAATCATCATAAAATAAAACAGTCAAGAAACTTAATTTGTTTAATGCAGTGATAATCATTGATGTATATGACATTAACTTGTCTCATACACAACGTATAAAATGTAACCGACCATATTCATTACATAATGCGCTGCATCGTCAATAGAGAGCAAAATAAAAGAGAAACAAGTTTAACTGCAAAATTTATTCGTCATAAATGATAGATTCGTAAACCAAGCTTTTGTAACAATTAATTGAAGTTGGCGCAACTTTAGACATGCTAACAATCAAAACCGAAAATTAATACATACTGTATTGTATTTTTCGAAATACCGTAATGCGCGATCACTCCTCGAGCGTTAGCAAAGCATTTTTTTCTTCTTAAAAAGCTAAAGTTGGTGAAAAAAAAACGTCCGTTTTGATCAAATTTCTTTGAGAAAGCTATAATATAGAATGAAGTTTCCGCCCATCACTGACAAAATATCTTCCGAAATGCGATATAATTATTAGATTATTTCCATGCTCCGTCTATGAGTGGCAATACCTCGGTAACACAACGCGCTTTTTACCGGACCCGGAATAATAGAGATTCACCCTCTTCGCGCCGCCACGTAGCCGACCTTCCCGCGCACATCGGTCCACATTGGCAGAACTATTCTTACGTTCACCGACATCGCTCTCTCCGCGCACATAGCACACCATGTACGACGTGGTTCGCGCGGTAATTTTCACCTGCTGACCCAACCCTCTCGATCATACATCCCTCTACGACATATATCTCCGTCACTCGATGGACTCCTTAACCATCCTTTGCCAGCGGTCGCGTTCGCGTTCGCGTTTCGCGGATGGGTGCGCTCTGCGGCTTTATCGCGCGCGCGTTAGCCTCTCTCATCCAGGGCTAAGGGCCCAACAACCCTCCTGACCTGATCGAGCCACAGCACGGCGCGGCAGTAGCAGCAGCGGAGCCGGCGCCGAGAGGCCACCACACACCACGGTGCCACCACCGTGGGACGCGCGAGTTTTCGTGTGGATGTGGAAGGACTGACGGTGGCGGTGGCGGCAGCTCGGCACTACTCGCGCCGCGTTCGGGAACGAGTACCGGCGTTCCCCGGGACATGTATTGGCGGGTAGGAAAGCTCCACCTATTGCGCGACCAAGTGGGAGGGCACAGGAAGACCCGGAGCTTGCGCCCTCCGGCTGGCTCGCGCACCAAGCACAACCCCTTCCTTGGCTTTTTCCCAACTTTCGAACTTGCGGTGTGCCCTCCTCTCGCCCCCTCCCCTCTCGGCCTGTTCCCTCGACCCTCTTCTCGCCATCGCTCGCCGTCGTCATTACTATCGCC